TTTAACCATAATTACATTTATTTTAGTGAAGAAAAATAAACTGATGTTTATCTTTAAATCGATAGCTTATTTTTCCTCTGACCACACTAGAATGAAGAGTTGCTAGTTAAGAAGAACTATATATTTTCTCAAAAATTGGGGTTTGTGGAAGTTTCATAACTTGAAAGAAGAGTCAGCACACATAATTATTACAGACCATATGGCATCTGCTTTATTGGAAGGAAGGCTTTTGCAAAGATGTACTGCTCTCAAATAGTTGATTTGTTTATTTTCAGTGGTTGGAGATGAAATGGGTGAAACCAAAATATAGAAAATTGTGTTAGTAATGCCCATTTGGTAGATTTGTGTACTTTACAATATTCTACCTTATTCCACAAAGTATTGGAGACAAGAGTTCCATGTTGTATATTTTAATGACTTTGGAATATTTCTGTTTAGGGTAGAGGTTTTCTAAATATTTTGATATAAGTGGAGAATATTTTTTTGTTTATTGCTTTAAAAATCCTTTAGTGTTGATAAAAAATATTTTGATATATTCTTTATATTTAAAATTAGTTCCATACTTTTCTTGTTCTGTTATGCTTTTACTGTACAGAACTCTAACATTCAAGAGAGAGGTAGTTTGAGACTGTACAGATTCTGCTATAATGTGAACTAGTCCTCATTTTTTAATGGATCTAAAGCTATTTTATGGCTCTAAAACTGTTGTTTTCTTGATCACTTCACTTTCATTACAAGCACTAATGATTAACTTTTTGAGAAAGACCACATTTTCTATTTTCATTTAAAAAAGTAAATTTTTACTGCATTCACTGAAGACTAGTATAAGGTAATAAAGCTCCAAAATTTTGCCTTGCGAGTGGGTGACTGAACTTATTACTAGCTAAATGACTGACTGTAGAACTATGTCATAGTTCTTTACTAACAGTTAAAATCACAAATATCAGGGGTCTGCTTTACCTTATTTTTGAAGTATTCATAAGGTGAAAACAGTAAAGAGAATTCTGAGCGTCTCACACTAGCTTAATTTTCCTAAAGATTAGGAAGGAATACAAGATGTTTTTCTTGTATTGTTGCCTATCTTGAAATTCTTCAGTGACTCCTTCAATATAGGATAAAGTCAATAGACTAAGCACTCTATGGTTCTTCTACAGATTTATTTTTACCTATTTTTCGAAACTAATTTGTTCAAAAAATAATAGTATTTACTATGTACTGGGCAATATACTAAGCTCTCAAAATATAACACTAAATAAGAAAGACTTAATCCCTGTCCTCATAGACTTGCCTAATTGCTCCAGCCTAACTGATGAGCATGATTTAAATAATAGCGTGTATCGTTATGCCTTTTTACCTTTGCTTACTTCATTATTTTTTCCACAAAATCCTTTCCCTTCAGCATCAAATTTTACCCACATTTCAAACTTCCACTCTGGTGATACCTCCAATATCACTATTCTCCCTGTTCATGCCAGGTCATTTTAGCCTGTTTCCTCTGAATGGCTGTGGCAACTAATTCATACTGTTCAGTTACAACATTCACTTATAATTATTAATAAATTCTAATTTTTAACTTCTCATGTGTGCATCTCCCCAGATAGCCTATAAGGTTTTGGATGGCCAGTCTGTTCTCTGCAACCCCTGCAAGTGATTCGGGTCCTTCCCACATGCAAAACGCACTCCCTTCCTTTCAGGGTTCCCAAAGTCTCATCCCATTACATATCTCCTCAGAGTCCACAATCTCTACATCAAAATCAGATCCAGATGTAGATGAGCCTCCTTGGGTACAGTTGCTTAAATATAACTTAAATATTGTTCTTCTGAATCTGAAGACCTGTGAACTGAAGAGACAAGTTCTTTAGCCCCCTCAACCCACATACACCACCTACACACTCAGAATACAAGGATGGGATATGCATAGGATAATTTCTATAGACTTTCCTGTCCAAAGAGGAGAAAATAAGGGGCACAAAGGAGTCATTGATCCATAATGATTTTGAAATTCAGGTGGGCAAACGTTGGAGGTTACTTGATTAGATCTCAAGGCCTTGCGATAATTCTTCAGGGTTCCAGACTTTGCACTCTGAGTCATCCTTCCTTTTTCATGAAATGTAGCATGTGTTTGCAGCTGAGGAGTTTCCTCAGTCTGCTTCCTGCCAGCAGAATTTTGGGGGTTGAATGGTCTCATTTCACTTTGTACTGTCACTGTCCCTCTCAGTCGAAGTTAGCAATGTGTTTGCTGATACACTTCTCTCAAATATTTTGTCAGCCTCCTGTGAATCATATTGGGGTTTATTCCATTAGATAAAAGCCACAGCCAAGAATCTCTTCAAAATATGGACTTCTGCAGAGTTATTAAGGTACAGTATTCTCAAGCTTTCTAGAGGACCTATTGTTTGACTGAGAGGATCTGTGAGATACCCATAATCTGTTTAATGGACGTTTTGTATAACTGATTAATACTGTGAGGTATCACCCTTGAGCTTTCTGGATTCTTAACAAAAGATTTTACAGTCAATCCACCAGTTTTATTTTTAGGCCGTGTTCTGGCCATGCCCTGGATTCAGACTTTGTATAGAAGCCATTCTTACCTTTAGCATCTTTGGCCGTCTTGAGAAGCTCAGACTTTTCAAAATCATTCATGTCCTGGTCTTTTTGTTGTTTAACAGTCCTTTCTTTAGTTTAGCTTATCTTTCTTCTCTTGCATTTTACTGAAGCGCCAAGGAAAAATAGGCAGCGCCTACCACACTTTGACTCTGCTTGGCAGTCTCTGTGGCTAGATCATTCAGTTCATTAGGCACATTTCCTACTTTCCACGTTACTGATAGTAACAGTGTTGAAGAGTTTCCAATACTACTTAACAGGGATCTGCCTTCCTCCAGTTTCCAAAAACATTTTCTTCTCTTCCTTTTGAGCCTTCTTGGGAAGTAGACGCAAAGTCCAGCTTTCTGCTAACACACTGTTCAAGCAATTTAGGTTTTCTCTACCATGCTCCTAAAAACCCTTCCAGCCTATGCCTACTGTCAAGTTCCAAAGCTATTCCAATATTTTTAGTTATTGTGGCATCACCCCACTTCCAGCTTTCAAAATCTTTTCTAGTTACCTCGTCCTGTGTAACAAATTTAGCAGCTGAAAACAACGAACATTTATTTTCTTACACTTTGAATGGGTCAGGAATCTGGGTGTCGCTTAACTGGGTCCTCTGCCTCCAGATCTCTCTCAAAGTTGTAATCAAGGTATCAGCTGGGGCCATGGGCTTATTTGAAGGTTCAGCCAAGAGAGAATCTGCTTCCTGGTTCACTCATGGTTGTTGGCAGGATTCAATTTAGATTCTCTTGGCTTGGGGCCTCTTTCAGGTCCTTGCTCTTGGTCCTTTTTCATAGGGCAGTTGACAACATGGCAAGCTGGCTTCCATCAGAGCAAAAGACAGCTGGCAAGACAGAAGCCAGAATCTTTTTGTTACCTAGTCTTGGAAGTAACATCCCATCATTTTTGCCCTTAGTATTCTCTTTGGTAAAAACAAAGCAAATCTCCTACACATGAGTGGAGGAGATTATACAAGGGCATGAATACCGGGAGGCAGGGATCATTGGAAGCCATCTTAGAAGCTATAAGATCTTTGGCTACTACTTGCATGTGAATCTGCATTTACTGGGTTTGAAAATTGGAAGAGTATCTAGAGCACACCAATGAAATAATATTTATTTACTTAACCATTTAACAGGAGGTTCTTCCCAACCTTGTAACTTACTGAAACTTGAAAATAGTTTTATAAGCTTAACTTCACACAAGCCCAATTTTTTTTTTTTTTTGCGGTATACAGGCCTCACTGCTGCAGCCTCTCCCGCTGCGGAGCACAGGCTCCAGACGCGCAGGCCCAGCGGCCGTGGCTCACAGGCCCAGCGGCTCCGTGGCATGTGGGATCCTCCCGGACCGGGGCACGAACCCGTGTCCCCTGCATTGGCAGGCGGACTCTCAACCACTGCGCCACCAGGGAAGCTCACACAAGCCCAATTTTATTCATATATTCACATGAAGTATGATGGAATATAAAACTTTTAGAGCACATTTGACTTTGGACAAATGAATCAAGTGCCTTTTTTTTTCTTTTTTTTCCCGGGTACTGATACATGTCAGTATTTACAAGATGCATGAAATGAAGTAAGTGATTTCACTTACTCTAGATTAATTCTGAGATAAGTTATTCCTTTACTTCTTACTGTAGTTTTGGAATTATGGTAGAAGAGATAATATTGCCTACACTTTCAGTGCAGTAAATATAGGTAGTATGACTCTAGGAGTAATTATACATGCAAACACATATGAAGAAAAATCCTACTGTTTTTGGTATTGGAGGAAGGGGCTGGGAAGAATGGTTGTAATATCCTATACGTATCCTGGAAAATATATTTTCATTGAAAGGTGGAAATATTTTAAGATTATTTTCTTTGTTGGTTGTATTTCAGTGTTTTCATTATTCCTGCCTCAAAACTTTTAAACTCTTGGCACAGAAACCACTTTAATCTAACAGATAGACATGCCAAACTGGCCTGAAAAATAATAGTAATTACTTTTTTCCATGGATTATTTTAGTGTTATTTGGTTCAAAACTTGGCTTTGTGTGGTCTGATAAATATTGTGATGTTTAGATTGAAAATGAGTATTGAGCACATTTAAGTAATTTTTTCATTTTAGGGTATTAGAAGAATCATTATTTTTCTTCCATGTTTCCCGGAAAGTATGGGGGTTTGTTTTTTAGTTATGCTATAAAAGATTAAGGTGGGGTGGAGGAAGAGAATTTGTATAGTTGTCTAAATCTGTTTATTTTCGAGTTGCAACTGAATCTCTCACTAGGTTTGTGATCTGAGAAAAATTGCCAACAATAATAACAATGTTATTAAATAACGTTGTGGGTATCTAACCATGTTTTAGGATACCATTAACACAGTTCCTTTTTAGATTATCCCTAATGTATAAAGTTGTCTTTTTCTCTTTTACAGGTAATATAACGTTACAAAGCAAGATGGGTAACATCACAGTAGGTATGTGCTAAGCGGTTGGTAAATTTTGTGTGCTTTTTAAAATAGCTATATTTGTGATATTTAATTAGAGTAAATAAAGTCTACAGTTTAGCTGATGAACCTAATAGGATCAAAATATACCTATTAGGATTCTGCCTGGTCAAATATAGGCAGACCCAGTATAGGAATATGTGAAATTGTTTCTACAAGTTCATTGGTTCATCATCCTATAAATACTGTATAATTATAGGTTTGCTATCAATCAGAATACTGTTAGAATTCTGATTTCACCACTTTCTACACATGGGCAAATTACCTAACTTCTCTGTACCTCAGCTTACACATCTGAAAAAAATAGAAATAACAGTAAGTACCTATCGTGTGGGGTTCTTGTAAGGATTAAATGAGGTATATAAAGTACTTTAGCACAGTGTCTGACATATGCTTAAATACTCAATAAATAATAGCCATTTAAATTATTGTAATTGTTCTAATCCTAGGCCAGAACTAATAGTGGCTAATGGTACTTTAGGCCTAATCACCACATGTGATGCTGTGCCTGTGGGAGCAGAAGTTCAGATTTCCAGATTGTTTGTTTGTTTTTGGCTGCGTTGGTTCTTCGTTGCTGCGCGTGGGCTTTCTCTAGCTGCGGTGAGCGGGGGCTACTCTTTGTTGCGGTGTGCGGGCTTCTCATTGCGGTGGCTTCTCTTGTTGCGCAGCACGGGCTCTAGCACGGGCTTTAGGCGCGCTGGCTTCAGTAGTTGTTGTTCGCGGGCTCTAGAGCACAGGCTCAGTTTGTGTTGCATGGGCATAGTTGCTCCGCGGCATGTGGGATCTTCCCGCACCAGGGATCGAACCCATGTCCCTCACACTGGCAGGAGGATTGTTAACCACTGCGCCACCGGGGAAGTCTCTTCCAGATAGTTTAGACAGAGCTTTTCTCTAACCCAAATAGCACCTGCTTGCCTGTTGGGTGAAGGAACACTGTGAGCTCTAAGAGTGGTGGTTGTTTTTTAGGCCTTAGAGGGTGGGGATTTGGGGATGGGAAACGCTCTCTTTATTGAGCAGCTGTGGCTTATTGCCAGTGTGAATGCCCAGGCCTCCTGGTTTTGTCCTTTTTGACATTTGACATTTTCTTTTTCTTTGTGCTGACTGAGATAGTGAATATACCCAACAGTCCTTTTCACTATCATTCCTTCTGGATTCTCTGGCTTAGAGTGCACATCCTTTTTTAAGTTTTCTAGACATTATAACTTTTATGTTCACTGAGGGATACATAGAAGATAAAGGCTTCCTAAGTGATGATTATAAATCATTTTAACTAAAACATGACAGGATTTACCTGTTTTCCAGTGAGAAAGCAAAATTCACTGCTGACTCTTCAGGCCATTTCATCAGAGGGTACATCTGGGGATAGTAAGGGAAGTTTCTAGGGTGAAAAAAAGGTACACTAGTGAGAAGCTGAGCTAGCTGAGGAGAGAAAGTCCTAGACATGGGTGGAGTTTGTAGCAGTAGGGAAGGAGGAAAAAGAAGGGGAATATTCCAAATTGGGAGGCATAAAAAGTTTCATTACCCACTACTAGCAGGCCCTTTAGGCAGATGTGAATTTGAGGAATACTTAAAATCTAATATAATACAATAATGCTAGTATTATTGTTGGATGGAATTGTGGGAACTTAAAGGGAAAACCATTCTCTCTAAAACTGGAAATAAATGGGTTATGTATCCATACTGAAAAAGAATAGTAATAACAAGGATGAAATGATCAGTAATTTACATCTTTGAAGATGGTTTCGCACTCTGTATAATTGATTAACATTATGAATTCTTGTTAATTTCCCCTATAAACTTTCCCCTTTTCCCACTATTAAGTATTAGAGAGATTTTAAGGCAAAGTGTTTTATTTTTCTTAAATAAATCTCTGTTCATTCAGAGAAAATTACCTGAGCTCAGTGTTAAGAAGTATAACTGACCACAATTATAGAAGTATTTAATGAGCCTTTATAATTTTCTTCAGTGAAACATAAATGGCATCTGTGGCTTTAGCTTGTTCTTAAAAATTCCAAATAAGTGAAGGTAAATAAAGGTTGAATTTCTAATTTTGTAAACATCATTGATAAATTTTGAGTCCTATTTTGGAAGAATCTTTCAAAATAAGAGAAAAAGTATGCATTAAGTTATCATGATCTGTGATAGTGTGGAAAAGCATGGACTTTAGAAGACTGTGAATTTTGGTCCTACCACGTGTTAGCTGTGTGGCTTTGAAGAAATTACTAAATCTCTCTGAATCTGCATTTTTATACATGGTTACCACCCATATAGACCAAGGTTTTTGAGAAATTAAATAATGTAAAGCACAGCCCAATGCATGGTAGTCATTCAATGTTTAACCTTAATAATAAGGGAAGTGTTCATTTCTTAAATTCCTTTAATTCTTTGAATATCTCTATTAAGACTTTGGAAGAAAGTATAAGCTATGTCACTGTTTATATTGATCTTAAGATTGTGTTAGCATTTGGAGACAACCCTGAATATGGCAATAACTAGTCGACATATATTTACTGAGTGCCTGCTTTATAATAGGAACTCATTTAGGTACTGAGGAATATGTTGGTCAACAAGATGTCTTTATGCTCTCCTTTGGGCTGAGAAAAAAAAACAGTCGGTATATAAATAACAAAAGATAATTTCACATAGTGCAATGAATAAATAAGAGAGGGTAATGGGATAGAGAGAGGGGAAAAGAAAGCTACTTAGTTTAGCAATCGGGGAGGGTCTGGAGAAGAGATATTTGAATTAAGCCCAGAGTAATGGGAAAGAGGCATGTAAAATTCTGGATGCACAGCTGCCCAGATAGAGGACAGCCAGTGCAAGCCCTTAAAATGGAATTAGTTTATAATTTTTGAGATATAGAAGGGAGACTTCTGGAGAAAATGGTGTGAGGTGAGGTAAGTGAGAGCTAGATCACAGGGCCTTGTAGATGTGGTAGGAGTTGGGACTTTATTCCAACTACAACAGGGTGGTAGCAGGGTGTATTTAAGTACAATTTGTATTTAAAGAGAACAACCTAGTTGTTGTATCACAGGGGTGCCAACGTGGAAGCAGGTGACTAGAAAGCTTAGTTTGTTTATCCATTCTTCTGTTGATGGCTACCTGAGCTGTTTCTAGTTTTTGGCAATTGTAAATAAAGCTGCTATGAACATTCTTAGACAAGTTATTTTATGGATATGGAGATTTTATATATATATATATTTATTTATTTATATATTTATATATTTATTTATATATATATATATATATATATATATATATATATATATAAAATTGACCCTTGAACAGTGCAGGAGTTGTTTCAACCCTCCCTGCAGTCAAAAATCCCACATATAACTTTGCAGTTGGCCCTCTGCATCTGTGATTCTCCATCTACGGATTCAGCCCACCTTAGATCGTGTAGTACTGTAGTATGTATTTAGTGAAAGAAATAATGTATAAGTGGACCTGCGCAGTTCAATCCCGTGTTGTGTGTATGTATTTATTTTACATGTATGTATATATGTATTATATGTATGTATATACATTTATTTTATTTATATGTGTATATATAATATATATGTGTGTATATATCACACATACACACACATATATATATATGTATTTTTTTTTCCTTCTTAATACCTAGGAATAGAATTGCTGGTTTGAGGGAATTCCCTGGTGGTCCAGTGGTTAGGACTCCACGCTTTCACTGTTGAGGGCCTGCGTTCAATCCCTGGTCGGGGAACTAAGATCCTTCAAGCCACACGGCGTGGCCAAATAAATAAATGAAGGGGGCAGGTGAGGGGGTGACAATAAAATATGGATTAAATTCTAAAATACCAAGTAAAATAATTTTTAAAAAAGAGAATTGCTGGTTTGAGTAGGTATGTTTATGTTTAGTTTTATGATGAACTACCAGACTTTCCCCAAAGTTCCATTTTACATTTTCTTCTACAGTGTATGAGAATTCTAGTTGCTCCATATCCTTACCAACATATATTATTGTCAGTCTTTTTGTTTTTACCCATTCTGGCATGTGGATAGTAGTATATCTCTGGTATTAATTTACATTTCCCTAATGGCTAATGGTGTTCAGCACTTTTTTTTTTTTTTTGAAGTATAGTTGATTTACAATGTTGTGTTTCTGGTGTATAGCAAAGTGATTCAATTATATATATATATTTTTTCATATTCTTTTTTCATTAGAGGTTATTACAAGATAGTGAATATAGTTCCCTGTGCTATATAGTTTATCTATTTTATGTATAGTAGTTTGTATCTGGTCATTCCAAACTCCTAATTTATCCCTCCCCCCCATTTCCCCCTTGGTAATCTTAAGTCTGTGAGTCTGCTTTGTAAATAAGTTCATTTGTATCATATTTTAGTTTCTACATAAAGTGATATCATATGTTATTTGTCTTTCTCTGACTGTTTTGCCAAAAGCCTGCTTTCGGTTTTAAGGTTCATTGGATTTGCTGCCAAAATAACCACTCGTCTCACACAAAGTTTTAATCAATTCTTTAATGAGAGGTGATTTAACTTAATTTTAATATAAAATCATTAGAAGGAAAAGAATAAGAATATTAGAAAAACGTTACAGGGTATTTACATCACCGAATTGGGCCAACACCTACTTCCAGATCCAGACAGCAGCTGGGAAGTCCCAAGTAACAGCAATATGGAGCCCCAGTTGGGAAGGGTCCTGGGTGGTATGTGCATCACACAGGTGAGACTTCAGATTGGAGTTCTGGGGGCTTCTGTTTATAATTAAAGGCAGCAAACTATTAGCAGTTTTTGCTCAAAAATTCAGCTCTGGTTCAGTTGTAACAATGCTGTTAATTTCATCATGTGAGTCACAAGATTTTCCAGACCCCAGGGGACTGGCCAGGTCCCCAGGGCTCAAGAAATTCCAAGACCCATTCCCTTTCTTATTGTAAGTGCTGCTTGACTTGCTAGCAGCAGTTGTTAGGTGTGCAAGCAGGCATGCA